TTTGCATTAGTGTATATGTGTAAGTGTATGTGTATATGTGAGTGTCATATATATGTTCTTACATGTAACTATGCTTATGTGTGTCTGCATATATGTACATAAGTGTGTATTGTGTGAGTGTATGCTTTTGTGCATATGTGTGAAAGTAAGTTTGTGTGTGTGTGTGTGTGATGTGTGTATTGCATGGAAATATATGCATTTGTCTGTGTTTCATGAGATGAGGATCTCTTGCCAAAACAAAAATCTTGTCTTGTTGGAAAAATCTTGAAGATTTGTTCTGTTCTTCTGCCCAAAAGACATGATCCTCCTAGAACAGCCTGGAGCACCCATTTCCACCATCAGGGTGACTAATGGCATTATGACCACTGTATTCCTTCCCACATCTTGAGGGCTTCCTGCTGTGTGAGCCCCATGGGGTTGTGCAGAGCCCTCGGGGTTTCATCAAACCAGCACTGATGACAATCTGTCCTCCAATAAAAGAGGGTGAGTCACTCTAAAGGGAGGCCAGTGCTGCTTCCTCTAAATCATGTGGTTCTGTGACAAGAATCTGAATCGGCATAAGAAGCCATGCATTTCATGCTGACCATGCATTATCCATCATCTGCAGGGAAAGTCAGCAAACCAAAATCCTTTTGGTGTCCCCCCCGCCACTCCTGGGGCTTGGGTTTGGTAACAATCACCTCCTTGACTTTTGGTGCAATTGGTGGCAATGAATGTTTCAGCTTTTTTCTAGACATATTTTAATGTAACTGAAATCATACAAAATGTATAATTTTATACCCTGCTTTATCTAACCTAACATTAAGAGAGTTTTGTAATGTTACTAGGTATTCAGAAACATCAGTTTTGATAGCTGCAGAATCCTGTACTAGTGTCATCATATCCCCACTGACTTAAGTGTTCTCCACCATGAAACACTTAGACATCTTTCCTATTATAAATAAAGCTGGCCTTCTTAAGAAATGTATTTTGGACATGAAATTTGCTTTTGCTTTTATCACATGACAAAATCTGAGGCGAGCAGCACTTATTGCTGAGCAAAAAATTACAGTTGTGTTGCTCTCTGTTTTCTTTTTTTCCTGGTATCATTATTTTATTCATTAACTGTTGAGATGTCTTATATCACTTTCCTACTACCTTTTTTTCTATACTTAATAGCTTTTAGAACACTACTCTTTGGGCAAGAGCAAAAAAATTAATCTTTCCAACAAACATCATGAAAGATAAAAATGTAAATTAATCATTATATTTACCAAGAAAACTTTCAGCTTCAAAACTCACTCTGAGTAATGCTGTGTAAACTTTTAGGATTGCTTTCAAATCTGGGGAACCACCATCAAGTTTTACTTTTTTTCATATCTAAGCTGTAGGATGTTAAGACATGTCAAGTATCCTCATCTAGTGATTTTCTTGAAGTGCTCATTGAGTTCAGGATGGGGGAAGAAAAGGAAATGCTCATTGAATAGTCAGAATTCTTAACCAGTTTGGCATGGTCATGCTCTTGTCCATCTGGGCCACTGTCCTGAATTGTGTGCAGTCCCCTCACTAGGAGGCAGCCTCACTAAGCTTGGCTCATCTCTGTGTGTGGCTGCCGTGTGTAGGGGCCAAGGGCGGACTTCTCCAAGATGTGTCACTGAGCTGAAAACAGCCAAGGCTCAAAAGACTGAGAGAATTTTTTTGTTTGTGTATAGTTGATATACAATAATATATTGGTTTTAGATGTATAATATGGTGGCTCAATAAATACATATATTACTAAATGCTCACCACAGTAAGATAGTTAACCTCTGTTACCATGCCAAGATATTACAATATTGGTAATATTCTCTACATAATACTTCCATTCCTATGACTAATTCATTTTATAATATGGAGGTTGTACCTCTTTATCCCCTCACCTTTATCACCCACCCCCCAACTAACACCTTATGGTACCAAAAAGTCTGTTGTCAATATTTATGGGTCTATTTATTTTTTGTTTGTTTTCCTTTGTCTTAGAGACCACAGATCCACCACCACTAACTGTGTGAAAAGATTGTAGCGGGAGGCCCTGCTGCATGAGGAGAGCAGCCACCGTAGCTAACTGCACCATAATGTGAGCAAGGGGTGGGAGACGGGGAGGACCTGGCAGAGTGTGTATTGGTACCTCTCTGTCCCATCATTTTCATGGGGCCCAGAAAACATTTATTTAACTAACTTTGCCTCCCTCCTATTCCTGTGAATTGTTTCTCTTTTTCCTTTGAAGTCCCAAACCCTACCCTCTTCTCCTTAACTCAGAATGACATACATTATTGTCACTGACTGTCCTTGGAATCTCCTGCTGTTGATTCTCCACACATATGTAATTAAATTTTGGGTTTTTTTTCTTCTGTTAGTCTGCCTCATGTCAAATTGATTTGTAGACTAGTTAGGTAAACCTTGAGAGGTAAAGGAAATTTCTTTGCCAACAGCTGCCATTTGGGTCATTGTTCTCATTTTTCTAGTCTTCAAACACTACTGTGCTTGGAAGCCAGCCTACAGCTGGGTCCCTGCCCAGCTCTTCCTGGGAACCTGTAGGAGGACATGGGAACCTACTTGTGAGGCCAGGTGAGATTAGATGACCTTTCAGTCCCTTCTAAGCTTGGCTTTCAGGTCCACTGTGGGCTCAGGAATTCTGGTGTGGAGGTCAGATGCTGAGCACTGACTCTTTCCTCTGTGTATTCCTTTTGTTGAAATCCAGATAATCTGTGAGAAAAGGATTTACTTTCCTGTAAAGGGGAAATGTCCCTATAAAAGGAAGTCAAAAAAGAAAAGAACACTAACATTTCCAGAAAACCATCACTTCATCATGTACATTACAGGACTGGGTGGCTACAGGGCACCCTCGGTACGTGAAAAAAGTCTCCCTGCACTCAACTCACCCTGCTCTGGACATGTTCTAGAAGAAATGATTAAGAAGTAGGGAAATAAGGGATGCAAGAGTGGTACAACATTAAAAAATGCATCAACATCATTCACTGTATCAATAAAAAGAAGGACAAAAATAACAAGATCATCTCCATAGATGCTGAAAAAGCACTTGACAATATTCAACATCCATTCATGATAAAAACTCAACAAAATGGGTATAGAGGGCAAGTACCTCAACGTAAGTAAAGGCCATATATAACAAACCAACAGCCATCATCATACTAAATAGTGAAAGGCTGGAAGCTTTTCCTCTAAGATCAGGAAAGAGATAAGGATGCCCACTCTTCCCACTTTTCAACTATTACCACTATTCAACATAGTACTGGAGGTCCTATATATGGCAATCAGACAACACAAAGAAATAAAAGGCATACAGATTGGTAAGGAGGAAGTTAAACTGTCATTGTTTGCAGATGACATGATATTGTACATTAAAATCCCTAAAGAATTCACTCCAAAACTATTAGAACTAATATCTGCATTCAGCAGTGTTGCAGGATACAAAATCAATACACATAAATCTGTTGCATTCCTATACACTAATGATGACCTAGCAGAAAGAGAAACCAGGAAAACAATTCCATTCACAATGGCATCAAAAAGAATAAAACACCTAGGAATAAACCTAACCAAGGAAGTGAAAGACCTGTACCACGAAAACTACAAGAAACCACTGAGAGAAATTAAAGAGGACACTAATAAATGGAAATACATCCCATGCTCTTGGGTAGGAAGAATTAATATTGTCAAAATGGCCATCCTGCCTAAAGCAATCTATAGATTCAATGCAATCTCTATCAAAATACCAACAACATTCTTTAACAAAATAGAAAAAATAGTTCTAAAATTCACATGGAACTACAAAAGACCCCAAATAGCCAAAGCAATCCTGAGAAAGAAGAATAAAGTGGGATTACACTCCCCGACTTCAAGCTCTACTACAAAGCCACAATAATCAAGACAGTTTGGTACTGGCACAAGAACAGAGCCATAGATCAATGGAATAGAGTACAGATCCCAGATATAAGCCCACACATATATGGCCAATTAATGATAAAAGAGCCATGGACATACCATGGGAAAATGACAGCCTCTTCAACAGCTGGTGTTGGCAAAACTGCATAGCAACATGTAAGAGAATGAAACTGGATTACTGTCTAACTCCATACACAAAAGTAAACTCAAAATGGATCAAAGATATGAATCAAAGTCATGAAACCATAAAACTCTTAGAAGAAAACATAGGCAAAAATCTCTTGAATATAAACATGAGCAATTTTTTCATGAACCTATCTCCTCAGGCAAGGGAAACAAAAGCAAAAATGAACAAATGGGACTACATCAAACTAAAAAGCAAAGAACACCATCAGTAGAACAAAAAGGCATTCTACTGTATGAGAGAATACATTCATAAGTGATATATGTGATAAGGGGTTAACATCCAAAATATATAAAGAGCTCACATGCCTCAATACCCAAAAAGTAAATAACCTGATTAAAAATGGGCAGAGGATCTAAACACACACTTCTCCAAAGAAGAAATTCAGATGGCCAACGGGCACATGAAAAGATGCTCCACATGACTAATCATCAAAGTAAAGCAAATTAAAACCACAATGAGATATCACCTCACACCATTTAGAATGGCCAACATCCAAAAGAGAAGCAACAACAAATGTTGGCAAGGGTGTGGAGAAGGGAGAACCCTCCTACACTGCTGGTGGGAATGTAAATTAGTTCAACCATTGTGGAAAGTAGTATGGAGATTCCTCAGAAAACTAAAAGATAAGATTTCCCCATAAGTCATGGAGAGTCACAGAGTGGGGGAAGCCCTTTAGAGAAATGTTTGAATGGAAACAGTGACAGAGGGTTGAGAACTCAGCTGAGGGTAATGACCTTGTATACGGCCACTGGGAGGCAGTGTGTCTCTTGGTTCCTGTTCCCCTTGATGGTGGGAAGGTCATAGTTAGCATAAAGCATCAATGTTGTGTCCTAAAATTCCTTTAGTGATGTTTGATGATTGACAGTTTGTCATCCCTTGTTTGTCATAGCCCTGTGGGGATACCTGCTGCCTTGTCCTGAGGACAAATCCTGGTTTCTACACATATCAACTAAGGAACGTCCGAAACCTCTCCAAGCTTCAGTTTATTTATCTGGAAGATGGGGATACTTGTTATAAGCAGATGGAAGGCTGTGATGCAAGCAGAGTTTTGAGTGGGCAACACATTCCAGATTTTCTGCTTGCTCCAAGAGGCCACAAGGAGGCAAGGTAGCACTTGGATGCATTTTTCCCATTTTTGTTGATCTGTACTTGTGAAGACTTCATAATGATTACTTGGATAATTTTTTAAGTAAAATAAATAATAAGTGCAGAATAAACTGCTAGAGGGACAATGGGCAGGGGCTCTGAGAATCCTTGAAAGCAGCCACTACCAAGTATTTACTGAAAATTCTAATGGGAGGAGGTGATCCAGGTGGAGGATGAGCTTCCTGTCCCGTCCCCAGGAGCAGGACATTAGGAATGTATGACATCATTTCTCCGGATCCAGGAGCTGGTTAGGTTATTGTTCCCTGTGGCAGTTAACTTTCACATATTCTATAGTTTTAGAAGAAACCAATGCCTTTTACAACATACTGTGAAGAGGTCAGGACCTAGAGACTGAAATTTTAAGGGAACTGTTTTGCTAGTGATTTCATTTAGATGGGACCAATTGAAGATTCAGCCCACCAGAAATAAAGTTGTTTTTAACATTCTTATTTGTATGAGAATCTGAAAGAAGAGAAGATGAAGGAGCCCAGCTTCCCAGATGGATAACTGGTCAGCAGGTTCACCAAGGCTAGGCCTGCGCTCAGCATTGCGTTTCCCAAGAGATTCTGTCCACAGTTGACCTATTTCACGGCACCATGCATGTCAGGCTTAACAAGCAATGAAAGCACGGGAGAGAGCAATGAGGGTGGGTGTTAATTTGGCTGAAGACACGCCAAGGGCACAATAATTCTTTAACTCTAGAAAGAACCAAGAGGACAGAGCACACCTGAGGCAACACACTGAAATGGCTTCCCTTGAGATTCCTTGTGTCCCTAATCTTCTGTCATATCTGCTGTGTCCTAAGATGATGATAAGTGCTCGGCCCTACCCAGACCTCAAGGGCTTATCACATACCCATTATTTTTCTTTTTTCTGACAATTGTGAAACCGTTAGTGATATATCTTATGGGATGGTATGATCACAGCAAGGGTATTTTGATAAAGGCCTCTATAAATTCCAGAGCATCATAAAGAAGAATCATAGTAGATAATTGCTAGAGATATATGCAAAGTGCTATATAACTTTTCCTCTATAATCCTCACTATACTCTCAAGAATTCAAGAATTTTAATCCCCTTTCACAGATGAGAAAATGGAGGCTATACAAGGCTGAGTACCTTGTGCAAGGCTTACATGGCAGTTAAGAAGCAGACCAAAATTTGTACCTAGAACTATTTCCAACAAAAGTGGCCTGCATCACTACATAATTGTTTACTTGATTATTGTCTTGTCTGCCAACCGTTAGGTTTGCCGCACACCTGGCAGGCAGTCCCATTCGTTACTGAATGAGTGAATGCTTTCTCCCTTCCAGACCTATAGAGTGGAGCACAGAGGCGGAATGGCAGGTCATTGTTATGTGTCATAGTTCATTGAAACATTAGGACCAGTTCTGCCTTGTGGCTCTAAGGAGTCCAGTCAACTCATGGCCCCCCTGGTACAGGAGCGGGAACCCCTTGTTGTACTGCAGAAACACTTCACATGAAGACTTTTATAGGAATGCCTTTTTTCATTTTTTAATATCCTTCAATCTAGATCAAATTAAGTTGTTATAAAGCTGGAAAATCTGAAATAAGGAGAAAGCATGAACAAAACATTTTTCAATAGGGGAAAACTAACTCTAGCCTCATATGAGAAGTCTTCCCTCAAATATCAAGGTCTCTAAAAATATGGCTATCATTGTTTCTCCTATGGGAAAGTAAAGCCACTGCACAGTTTGAGTGACATGATATGACTTCTTCATTTTTTTTATTTTTAGCTTGCACTCAGCTTTATTATTGCCCAGGGTAGTGATTAGAATCAGCAAGTCAGAGCAGGAAAAAAATTCAAACAAACTAGAATGTCTGCTCCCTGGCTCCTGCTGTCCCGCATTTAACTAATTGTGGGAACTAGCGGCACAAAGCCTTACAAATAACACCATGGTTGACACATATTTTCTATGTTACATGTATTTTTTTTTTGAGAGGGCATCTCTCATATTTATTGATCATATGGTTGTTAACAACAATATAATTCTGTATAGGGGACTCAATGCATAATCATTAATCAACCCCAAGCCTAACTCTCAACAGTCTCCAATCTTCTGAAGCATAACGAACAAGTTTTTACATGGTGAACAAGTTCTTACATAGTGAACAAGTTCTTACATGGTGAACAGTGCAAGGGCAGTCATCACAGAAACTTGCGGTTTTGATCATGCATCATGAACTATAAACAATCAGGTCAATTATGATCATTCGTTTGATTTTTATACTTGATTTATATGTGAATGCCACATTTCTCCCTTATTATTATTATTATTATTATTATTTTAAATAAAATGCTGAAGTGGTAGGTAGATGCAAGATAAAGGTAGAAAACATAATTTCGTGCTATAAGAGGGCAAATGTAGATGATCAGGTGTGTGTGCCTATAGACTAAGTATTAATCCAAGCTAGACAAAGGCAACAAAACGTCCACAGATGCAGAAGATTTCTCTCAAAATAGGGGGGTTGAGGTTCTAAGCCTCACCTCTGTTGATCCCCAATTTCTCACCTGATGGCCCCCCTGCGACTGTGCCTGTCTTAGGTTGTTCCTCCCTTGAGGAATCTTACCCGTCTCTGGCTAACCAGTCATCTTCCGGGGCCATATAGGGAGATGTAAAGTTGGTAAGTGAGAGAGAAGAAATATTTTTTGAAAAGGTTAGCTTTTTTACTTTTTTTCAGATTTATGCCCTGTGGCTTCTATGCCCAGCATTTGTCTTGAGGTATCTTTACCACTTGGAAGAATTATGATACTCGGTAATTTCGATATGAGGCACAAATTCTACTTAGGGGTTGTAATTATGAAGGAAGAAGAGAAGCTGTAGAAGTAGCAGATGGAAGAAAACATGGGAAGATTGATTATTTCTTTGACATATCTTCTTGTAGTGTAACATAAGCGTGTATAGGTTTTAAATTACTAATTAAATTGCGTGCACACATTCACATAATAGGAATACAGCTACATAACCAAAGCAGACCTACAATTACCAGCCATATCCAGTGAAACCAAGAAAACCATTTAGGCACCTTAGGCATTTGTGAAAACTTATCAATGTTACATGTATTTTTTAAAACTGTATTCTTACTATAAAGTTGGCTAGAGAAATGTTTTTTTCAATTGTCACAAGTATGATATGACTTCTTTTTGATGAGCCAGCAACCAGTCTTATGTTCCCTCTTCTCCTGTTTGATTTGGTCCTTTCTCTTCACAGTAGGTTGGTTTTCAGGACCTTGCCCTTTCCATCTGCACCCTCTTTCCTCCAACAACCACTTGCCTTTACCTTTTTTGTTCATCCAGCACTTTTTCCCCAGGGAAAGTCTGACTACACTGGGCAGATGCCTCTACCTCTGCCCATCTCTCTCTCCTGAATGCCTTCCCAATGTCTCTGGCAATAATTTGGAACTGATTTGGTGCTAAATACTAAGCTGTCTCTCAAAATAAGGCCCAGTGATCCAGATGGCACCTACAGTGCGGACTCCAGGGAAGGCATTAGTGCTTCCCATTTCCTGGAAGCACTTTGCCATGGAAGACATTGTCGAGAGAACATCCAGGTGACTAGGGGTCTTTTAAAGTCTCTCAGGAAAGGAGTTACTAAGTCTGGTATTATAAAGATGTTTTCAGTGGTGAAGAATTACAGTGCCATCTAGATTGTTATAAGAAGGGTTTTTGAACATTTATTTTAGCCACTCAGGAAGGAACTGATGAACCACTGGGAGCGTCAGTGTTCAGGGTCTGGGGAGGGCACTGGCGGAAGTGAGAAGCCCTGCAGTGGTCTGCATGTGGGGGCCAGTGTGGTGAGAAGGCACCACCTGCAGGCATCAGGGGAGGTGAGCAGCAGGGCCTGGCCCATCAGACCCCACCTCTGGGGAGAGGGCCCTTGACCTTCCTTCCAGAGAGCAGAGTTGTTATTCCTCTAAAGCGGTGGAAAAACCCTCGGGCGTGCTGAGTGTCCCAGGGACTGCTCTGGCGCATCTGGGCTGGCCCTGTGGCTGTCAGTTCCTCTGGCTAAACTAGGAAAGCCTTCTCATCACTGAGAAAGGTGGAAACACTTTTTAGGAATGCCTTCTCATACTGAGAAAGGTGCTAATCACCAGCCACCTGCTGGGGCTGAGCAGCCAGAAGAGTGATTCCCTACAAGGTGAGGTTCTCAGCCTTCCAGTTCCTTGAGCTCCCCGTTTTTATCCATGTTATTGTTAGAAGGTGTTGTTACATCAACTCCCCCAAGTGTGGGAGATGTCACACAGAGTTGGCACAAACGTGGGCATAAATGAAGGCCACTGGCCCAGGCCTCTGAGGGAGGAGGCTGGAAATGGCCACAGAGAGTCCTGTGGCTACAGCCCAGCACCCAGGCAGAAGTCTGTCTGGGCAGGTCAGTAGTGGCTCTGGTGTCCCCAGGCTCCGGGTCGGGACACTGGCCCTGGTTTTTCCCCCCAGGCTCAGGCTGGCTGGCCTAACGCTCACTGACTCACTGAGCTCTTCTGCTGCTGGAGTTTTCTTCCCAGAGCAAGAGCCTGGCCTGGGCTCCACTCCGAAGAAGCTGACAAGCACCAGGGCTTGTTTTGGCAGGTGGCAGGTCAGCTCCGAGCTCACAGCATGTGTGTACAGCACCTCCAGGTGCCAGCAGCTCCCCTGGCATGGGTACCAGAGGCTTGACAGCCACTCTCCTCCAAAGCCCAGCCTGGGGACTGCTCAGGCCCACAGTGGGGCGACCAGTTCTCCCAGCTCTCCACTTATCCCAGGTTTGTATTCTGCTTCCTCCAGGGATAACAGGGTCATGTGCCCCTGCCGCAGGCTGCAGACTATGATGCTGACAGCTGGGAGGGCGGAGTACAGCTTCTGAGACACATCAGCCAGGCGGATGCTGCAGAGCAAGGCCAGCGTTCCCCTTCCTTCCTGTCTCTCCTTCTCTTTCCTCTTTTTTTTCCTCCTTCTCCCTCTCAATCTCTCTGTGTCTCTGTGTTGGGAGGGAGGGTCGATCTCAGTAGTTTCTCTCACACTCCTCTAAGGGAAGCCCACAGGGACCAGTTAAGTTTCAAGGCCCCAAAGGAAAATCTGGGCTCTTCAAAGAGCACCTTAGGGTAAGAACCAAGGGGAATTTTGGCACCAATAGCCAGGAAGTGAATATTAAGCAGGAATCTTCCAACAGGAGGGAAGCAAAGACCTAGGGGTTGAAGGATGAGAAACCAGAGACCAAAGAGCGCCTCAGCATTAGCTCTGTCCTCCTCTCTGGGCAGAGGGGTCTCACGGGGACTCTCCATATGGAAAGCCCACTGTGTCCCTCAAATTCCACACAATCCCAGGAACTGGCCTGGTTCTAGAAGTTCTTCTTGCTCTTGGTTCTAATCTGATTTTCTGGCCCATAAAGCCAAAGACAGAAAGTAGTTTCCCAGGGCAGAAGGTGCTGAGGAGAGGGCGTGGTCACAGGTGTGGGGCCACTGCACACCTCATCCTCCTGACCCTCCAGACATTTCATGGTCAAGAAGTCAGTGTTACTTCCTTGTCCCCAGTTTGTACTGTATTTTAGTCCTCTAGTCACATAACCCCTCAAGAGTAGAGCTTTTCTCCATAAGAGCATGCACGTGAACAGCATAAGGAAACTGTCTTACGTGTTCTGACTGGTCCTCCAGGGAAGGAGTGTGTAAACAAGCAGAAGAGTCTCTAAAGATACAGGGCGCAGCCGGGTGGGATTTGAAAGCCACCCTCTGATAAGCTAATGATACCGTGTTTGATACCCTTTGCTCATTTGTCAAAGGAATGTAAATCTACATAATCCAATCCATTTTCCCAAAACTGTGTGAAAGACAGAGGGGTATATTAATTCCACTTTACAGAACAGAAAATTGAGGCATGAGAAGTATGCCCATATATTTCCCATATGGGAGAAACTTTCACCTTTTTTTCATGCATGTATACTTTGAATTCAGATAAAATGTCTATCTTTCAGATAAATGATATTTGATGAATGTGTTCACTTGGGTGAACACCACCAAACTCAGGGTACAGCACATTTGAATCCAGCCAGCCAGACCCACTGTGCGGGTTTTCCAGGCAGCGCCCCACCCCCTGCACCATCGAGGCCACCCCTGTCCCTGCTTTATTTCTCCACAAATGAGTATTGTGTGCTCCTGAATTCACACCAGTGACATCATGTATTAGATACTCTGTGTGTGTCTTGCTTCTTTCACTGAAAGCAATGTCTCTGAGCTTCATCCATGCTTTGCCTGTATCAGTGGTTCACCCTTTCCATTGCTGAAATTGTATTTAATCCACCTTTTCACTATCATCAATGAAAGTGCTATTCATGTACTATACAAGTCGTTCTGTGGCCACATGCTCTCAATTCTCTTGGGGAAATACCTAGGAGTGAATTGCTGGGTCATGGGGGAGAGAATAAGTTAAATTTATAAAAAAACAATTTTCCAAAATGGATATACTCTTTCAAATACTGACTACCAATGTAAAAGAATCCCAGTTTCTCTGTAACCTCACCAAAACCTGCTATTGTCAGTCATTTTAATGTTAGCTATCTTGGTGAATGTAAACGGAAATCTCAGTGTTTCATTTGTATTTTCCTAATGACTAATGACATTGGGTACTTTTTTTATTTTTATTTTTATTTGATTAATCTTGTTTTTTGTTTTTTGTTTTTTGTTTTTTGAGAGGGCATCTCTCATATTTATTGATCAAATGATTGTTAACAACAATAAAATTCAGTATAGGGGGGTCAATGCTCAATGTACAATCATTAATCCATCTCAAGCCTAATTCTCGTCAGTCTCCAATCTTCTGAAGCATAACAAACAAGTTCTTACATGGTGAACGAATTCTTACATAGTGAATAAATTCTTACATGGTGAACAGTACAAGGGCAGTCATCACAGAAACTTTCGGTTTTGATCACGCATTATGACCTATAAACAATCAGGTCAAATATGAATATTCGTTTGATTTTTGTACTTGATTTATATGTTGATCCCACATTTCTCCTATTATTATTATTATTTTTATTTTTAATAAAATGCTGAAGTGGTAGGTAGATGCAAGATAAAGGTAGAAAACATAGTTTAGTGCTGTAAGAAGGCAAATGTAGATGATCAGATGATCAGGTGTGTGCCTATGGACTAAGTATTAATCCAAGCTAGACAAGGGCAGCAAAACATCCACGGATGCAGAAGATTTCTCTCAAAGCAGGGGGGGTGAGGCTCTGAGCCTCACCTCTGTTGATCCCCAAATTCTCACCTGATGGCCCCCCTGTGACTGTGCCTGTCTTAGGTTGTTCCTCCCTTGAGGAATCTTAGACGTTGGGTACTTTTTCATGTGGTTCTTAGTCACTTTCATATCTTCTTTTGAGAAATATACATTCAAAAGGGAAACCTTTCAACCTTTAATGCACAATCTATAAAATAATCATTTTCTATTTTAGAACCAGTTTCCCTGAATTTCATATAAGAACAAAAGAAAGCCATAGAGTATAAGTCTATAAGGAAAGGGAGATTGTGATTAATTCTATCTGCAATCTGCTCATTTTATGCTTATTTTAAGGCTTCAATACTCCTTGTATTCGTTCCAGAGCTTTTCACTGTGTCTGTGCCATACCAACCTGTAGCATTCTGCCCTGCAAGTTTGTTTTTAGAGGCCTTGGTCACTGACCTCCTTTCTTGTCACCGGGACCTGATACTTTCAATATCAGCTCAACTTTGCACACCTTACTTCTGAGACATCTCAGTGGTCCTGGTAACTTTCAACCAGTGGAGCATGACCCAAAGTCCAGCCACCTGCATTCACACAGGTTTCCCTGCAGCCCTGGCACCTCTGGCTCTCTGAGGATGCCTGTGGGTCCTTCCGCATGATAATGCTTTAAATGACATAAAATTACAAGGTGATTAAACATTCAAATATGTTTATAAAAATGTAAAAAATCACATTGTAATATGATAATATGTGTTGCCAGTGAGGAATCTTTCAATGCTGTAATTTTGAGATAGTGACAAGTATAACAAATTTATAAGCTATGTAAAACAATCATAACGTGATGTGAAATACCTGATTTCTTATGGTGAAATCATGGATACTTCCGATATTACACTGGTGTGTTAGTAACATACAGTTAAAGGGATGCTAATTTTGGTCAAAGATTAGTGAAAATAGGTATAACTTTCTCCGTGCCTATAAATTCATATGCATTGCTATGAATTGTGTCATCCTCAAATTTGTATGTTGAGAATCTAACCCCCAATGTGACTATGTTTGGATAAAGGTCTTTAAAAAGGTAATTAATCTTAAATGAGGTTGTAAGATTGGAGTCTTAATACAATAAGATTGGTGGCCTTATAGAAAGAGGAAGAAAATCATCTTTCTTTCTTCCTTCATCTACCTACCTATCTACCATCTACCAATCAACCATCTATTTATTTATATAACTCTCTCTCTCTGTGTCTTCCAGGCACACACACCAAGTAAAGGCCATGTGAGGACACAACAAGAGGGTGGCACCTGTAAAACAGGAAGAGAGCTCTCACCAGGAACCTAATCAATAAGCACCTTGTTCTTGGACTTCCCAGGCTCTAGAACTGTAAGAAATGAATTTCTGCCACCCAGTCTATGGTATTTTATTATGGGCAGTGAAGCAGACAAAGACAGATTGAGATAGACTAAGGAGGACTAAGACAGGGCTGCCCCACCCCCTCTTTGCTTCTATGCCTATAACTAGACTCAAACCCAGCAGCTCCTACTGGGAGATATGCAGGGTAATTCATGAGGAGGTGCATGCACTCCAAAAGAATGACCTGAGTTTTCTAACTGATACAGAAACATGTGTTGGGCTGGATACTAAGGGTGAGAGATAATGGTGAGAAGAACACAAAGTTGAATCAGAATGAAAGTATTGTTGTGGCCTCACAAAAAGAGACTCCACCTTTCATGTTGCTGCTCAGGAAGGTAGAAAGGGCTCTAAAAGCCAGGATCCGTTAATGACTGAAAAATGTAACACAGGTGGCCCAGATGAGTGAGATGGAAATGCCATACCTGCCTTGGTTTTATGTAGATGAAGGGATTCAAGACCCAGGGATACTGGAAGGTTGAAGTGGACTTGTCGTGTAAGACCTATTCATCCAGTCTTGGAGAGTTCAAAAGACAGAGCTCTCACCGTGTGTGAGAGATACATTGTGAGGGGAGCCCTGGTGTCCTGGAAGAGCTCTGTGATCTCTCTTTCCTGTAGGGCAGACCTCACAGTAAGAATTAGGGCCATTGACTGGAAACATAAATGCAATGGGAGTAACTGGATCCTGGGGGCAGTGGCTAAGTGAGGGCTGTCGGCACCCAAGGAAAACCATAATGGACAGCAGAGTGAAAGCAGCAATCAAAATAGTCTGAGCCGTGTAACTTATGGTGTTGGCCGGTTGATGATGGCATTGCTAGGAGTGAAATAGACAAGAAGCCCACTCAATTTCAACCCTCCAGTCCTATGTCCTAACTTAGTTTGCAGGCATCTTGATCACCTTCCCCTCCCACAGGGTATCACAGTGGTCCATTTCAATGTTGACATATGCCTGTAAGACCTAGTGAACAAAGAGTAGTAATCTCTCTAGACTTACTGGTAAGGCATTTATGTGTTAGAGAATGGGAAATGACTTATACAAAAATTTAAGGACTTTCTACTTCAGTGAAATTTCCATGGGCAGAGATGTGGGGCAGGTTGAGATAACCCTTCTAAGGACAAATACATGTTCTTGGATCTGGTCCCTCCTACAATCAAAGAGAGGCACTACAATTCCTGGGCATCTTTGCATTTTGGGAGCAACATATCCCATGTTTGGACATGTTACTCCAGCCTATTGAGTGACAAGAAACCCTGCTAGTTTGAGTGAGGCCAGAGGAGGCGGCTGTGCAGCAGGCCCAGGCTGCTGTGTGGCTGCTCTGCCACATGGGGCATAATCGGTGGTGCTTGAAGTGGCCGTGGCAGACAGGGAGGCTGCTCAGAGCCTGTGGCAGGAACCCACAGGTGAAGCACAGGCCCTTAGGATTTCGGAGCAAGGCTCTTTTCTCATTTTGAGAAACCATACTGTTCTGCTTTTGGCTCTTAGTAGCTTAACCACTGCTCATGAAGTTATCTTGCACCTTGAGCTGCCATAATGAACTGGGTGCTATCTAACTCAGCAAGCTACAAACCTCAGCATACACAGAAACCCTCCATCATCAAATGGAAGTGGAATGTGCATGGTGAGACTCAACCATGCCCTGATAGCACAAATAAGTTACCTTAGGAAGGGATCCATATGCTATGGTCTCTGCTCCTGCTTTCTGTCTCCCAGCCTGCACCCCTGGCCTCACCGGAAGTTCTCCAGAATACGTTGAAAGAAAAAGAGAAGACTTGGGCCCAGTTTATATCTGCTGCAGCATGATATACAGGCACCAGCTGAAGGCAGACAGCTGTGGCATGAAGCCTCTTTCTGGAACACCCTCAGGACTGTGGTGAAGGGAAATCCTGCCAGTGGGCAAAACGTCAGCAGTGCCCCTGGTTGTTTACCTTGCCTGGAAGGAGAAATGGCCAGACTTGCGATTATATCCTGATTCATGAGCTGTGGCCAATATTTTGGCGGGATGGTCCAGGCCTTGGAATGACCTCAGTAGAAAACTGGTGACAAGGAAATCTGTGGAGGTGTGTGGATAATGGGAGTGGCACCGCACACTATTTCCCTCATGACCCACCAGCATTTTTTTTTTCTTCTTATTCCAAAACTTTATGCTGTGCCTGCCTGGAGGTCTTAGTTGCTCAGGGAGGATGCTTCCACCAGGAGACATAACAATGATTTCATTTATGTGGAAGGTGAGACAACCATTCACCACTTTGGGCTCCTCATGCCTCTGACCCAGAAGGGAGGGAGTTACGGTGCTGGTGGGGCAGGTGGATCCTCAATGCCAGGGGGAGTTGGGCTGCTACTCCACGAGCAAGGTGAGGAAGAGGAGGTCTGCAATACAGGAGATCCCTAGGGTGTCTTGTGATGAAGGTCAGTGGTAGAATTACGATGACCCAGTCTGGGCAGGGCTGGTATTGGTCTAGCTCTTGAGGAGCAAACCTGCAGACACAACCCCAGGGAAAGACAACCAGAAGCTGACTCTTTAGGGCATAGGTAGCCTTGGTCAGAAAGTCTTTTATTTAGTGTCATTTAGGACTTCTCTTTTTCTTGATGAAATCTGAAGAAGGGGGACTGCTGTACTTTCTGAGACTCCCTCTATCATGGGGTGGATGGCTACATAGAAACCTCACCACCTGGAATCCACAGTATGAGAAGCTGCCAAGATTGTTAGGGCAGTGCAGAAGGAAGGAAGCACAAGTTTACATATTACCCGCATGGATTCATGCTCCAGTGGATGTCAGCTCCCCCTCTCAGGGGACGGACCAGTATTTTGTGCATCACCAATTCGTAAGCACAGGGCCTGATATGAAAGAGATTCAATAATCTACAGATACCTTGGGAGGAACAGAGAGGAGATCATCTACAAAGGGAGAACTGAAACCACCCTCCCCGCACTCCTGCAGATTGGGCCATGAGCTGAGAGTAAGGACAAGGACAGCCACTCACATCACACTGAGCATGGGCCTGGCATCCAGGGCAGGGTCATGAGAACGAGGCCTAAACTCTTCAAGGCCCTCGTCTCACACCTATCATGTTTCCCCAGATGGAATCAGAGGCATATTCAATGATGCTAATACCCCTCTCAGAGGATTTCAAATCTACGCATGGTTCCAACTGAATCCCTGGTGGCAGGAGCTTCCTAGGACAATGAGGTGAAAAATGGGAGCAATCTGGCAGAAGACCATGCTGAGTGGGAGAGATGCATGTTTCCATGGTTTTATAGTGATTGGAAGCTATTTCCTTGAATTAATTCACAAACTTTCCTAATGCCTCACAATAGATCCTAGATGAATGGTAAGAGTAATCATCAAGATCTACAGACAGTATCTCAATGGCAGCAGCAGTCATTACCTTGTTAGCTCACATTTGGATGGAATGCCATTGCTCAGGGGAATGGCCATGTGTGAGGGAGAAATCCTGGAGATGTCTGCTTCTCTCACAACTGGTTTTGACTCACTTAATTTGTAACACAGCCTTATGAAGTCATTGAAATTATCTGCATTTCTAGTGAGTGAAGCCAATTGTTGGAGGGGGTAAGATAATTGCTCGAAGTTAATGTTCACCAAAGGATGACATTGGAGGGTCTACATGTCCAAGCCAGTGCAGTTTGGTAGTCAAATGATGAAGTCAACAGGTAAGAAAATTATTGTTTTTCTTGATTTGTCATTTTTCCACTGAGCACTTTAATGCAGACATGGCAGTACAATAGAAAGTCTTTACTACAAAAACTTTGAGATATTCTATAATTCTGGTTATCAAAATTTAGTATTCCTATAAAACATGGTTATTTCAATAGCTTTCTTTCCTCTCAATCAAAATGATAAAGAGAAAGAAGAGAAAGGATAAATGATTTTCATGCATCTCCAATCCAATAGGAAAACCAGGAGGATAAAACAGAAAGAAAGTCCAGACAAGACCCAGTTTCCTCCCCTTTCATCAACTGGGAAAAAGGATGAAACAATCCATTCTGAGGGGGCAACTCCAGGAAAGTTTGTGGCCTGTCGGGTGCAATGTCTGGATCTTCAGATTGCTCAACAGGGTTAAATGCAGCAGTATTATGCCAACCGATTTTTTTTTGCTGCTACCCTTGTCATAAATGTAAAATACCCAAAATATATTAAAGAACTCTTACAACTGAACACTAAGAGGACAATGAAAATGGGCAAATGATTTGAGTAGGCATTTCTCCAAAGAATATATATACACATAGCTGAGAAGCACATCAAAATATATTCAACATCACCATTCCTTAGGGACATTGAAATCAAAACCATAGTGAGATGTCACCTCTGCCTATTGGCATGTACAGAACTTTAAGTGATCAATAAATGTATTAGTGAGGATGTAGAGAAATCTGAACCTTCATATGTTGCTGGTGGGAAGGTCAAATGGTAGTAGTCACTGGAAAAGTCTGGTATTTCCTCAAACATGTATGAATACCAATTTCTACCCAAGAGAAATGAAAACATACATTCCTGCAAAAAACTTGTGCAAAAATGTTCATACCAGCATTATTCATAATAGCCAACAGAGTGAAAGCAAGAAACATCTTTCAATTGATGAATGAATTTAGAAAAGGGTATATTATTGTTGAAATAGTGCTCAGCTATAAAGAGGAATGAATTTCTGGTACAGGCTGTAATATGAGTCAACCCTGAAGACATCACACTGAGTGAGAGAAGCCAGGTGCATAAGGTCACATATTTTATGATTCCATTTATATGACATGTCCAGAATAGACAAATCCATAAAGACAGAAACTAGATTATGGGAATAATGGGTAATGAGTAAGAAATAATTATGATTAACTGGGAACTAATAAGCATAAGGTTTCTTTTTGGTGTTCTGGAATTAGACAGTGGTAATGCTTTCAGAACATAGTGACTATGGTAAATACTCATAAATGATAAAGTATATTTCAATAAAAATAACACTATCTATAAAAAAATAAATGGGGCATAAGGGAAAATAAGCCCCTGTATCATGCTCAAGACATTTGGCTTGCATATATGTCCCTAGGGGTTTTTTCCAAGGAAACACATCTCCATTGGTGAGTACCTGGCATTCCTGGAAATATAAGAATTATTAGAAAGTGTTCTTGCAGTAATGATGATGGCGATACTAACAGCTAAATAACATGTCAGTGCCAGGTGCTTCCCAGAGTATGCCACACCTGCTCCTTCACTCACTCTCCACAACACCCCTATGACCGTGGTTCTCACACTTGCATTAGAATAACCTGCAGGGCTTGTGAAGAAACTGTTGACCTCCATCTCCCAAGTTTATGATTCTGAGTCTGGGATGGGGTTCAGGAACTTGTTTTTTCTAACAAGTTCTCAAGCATTGTTGATGCTCCTGGTCAGGGTACCCACTTTGAGAGCCACTGCCCTAGATCATGGGTGTTGCGGTATGTCCCATTTTACAGGTATGCCATACCCCATGGCAGTGGGTATACAAGATCAAGGGTGGTGCCAGGTTCCTCTCTAAAGTGAAGACATGACATAAATGTGGGTCAGGCCAGCAGGACTTAGAAAAGGAAGCTGATCTCTGGGGACTCTGCCCTCGTCCCTCCCCAGCCACTTTCACTTACTTGGCTAACTGAACTCTGGCTGCCAGAGGGACCAGGAGAAGTGAAATGTGGACCCTGAGGCCACTGTGAGATAAAGAAGAGACTCTCCCCGGGGCCAGGCTCTCCACTTCAATGTCTGCTCACCTGATGTCTTGTTCAATGAAGATATGTGAGTTACAGGGAAGGTAAAATATGCTGCCTGCACTGGGTGGTCCTCCACACCTTCCTGCCCCAGGAGGGTGTTTTCCCCATGCCCCTGGGTCTTTCCCTGCTTGATAATTTCTCAGAAACAAAAACTCTGCTCCTTTCCCTGTGATCATTAAAAGTAAGATTGTAAACCTAGCTCTAATGACAATGTGTAAATGCTAACTTCAGATAGTAACAACGAGGTTCGTTTATTCACCAGTTCTAAAGACACACATAAATTCTTTAAAATTTTTGAGAACACAAAAAAGAAAGAGAACTGTATAATCAAGCATCCTAGATTCCCCATTAAAAAAAAATAAAAAGAACAAATCAAGGAAAACTTCTCCACATACAGTTTGGAAATTTTACTGAGTTAGTAACTCCACTCCAGTGATTTATGTTTGCTATGTCCCATGACCTGTGTCTTCTCCCTTCTCACCCTCTGAATAAGGAATCTAGTCTTTCTCTGGGATCACTGCTGTTGAACAGAGCCAGATCAAGTGGTATGTAAGAAGGAGTTCAGTAGACAACACATTCTGACCAAAGGAAGCAAGTAAAACAACCATGTCTTTTAAATGCATTTTTCTATGAGCAGCATCCAGTGTCCTGATGTGTCCTCCTACATAGGCAGAGAAGTGAGGCTGATAGCTAAATGCGCAGGTCAGATTTGCAGAGGAGATGCTCTGGTCTCCAAAGAGAGGTTATGGATTATAGACTCAGGGATGGGAAGGAGGAAGGTGGGGAGAAGGCCACAAGGGCCTCTCCCTGTACCTACTGCTGCAGGATGCTTGCCATAACTTATTGACTTTTATCAGTGAGCTTCAGGGCCCATTTTCTGTAAAATCAGGATGACTGCAGTCATCTTGTTCCTGGGCAGTGGACTGTGGAATCCTTCCTTTCTTGTCTCCAATGGAAAAATTCAGTGGAGAGACAAGATGGAGAATTAAAGCCGCAGGGGAGTTTTATTTAGCCAAAGCAAAAGGAAAGTAAGCTCCAGAGACAGAGAAGCGGGCTTACCCGAGGGTGGATAGCCACTCCCTGGGTTTTACACTGTTTTTTATGGGAGGTTATTTGGATTCCTCCCTCCCATTTTGTCATTCTCATACTATCTTTCAGATTGTCTCATTCCTCCCCTTCAGCCTCTATGCAAGTTTGGTTTCCGCATTCTCCTGATTGTCCTAGAGAAACCCATGGTGGGGCCAGAACCATGATGTACATGATGTAATAGTGACATCATGATGGCCTAATGCCATTAATGACTAGGCCATCCTTAAGTGCATGGGCTGTAAAATCAGGAAGATCCCTGTAACTCTTTTCTCTTGCTTATCAGTTTGTGCTGAACTGCAAAAGCGGTCTGTCTAAGCGAGACAGGGCGGTCACAGTAGGGAATGCAGTTGGAGGCTGCCTGCAGTCCTCTTCTCCCCTCCTGCCCATGTCTATCTAACCACCTACTCTAACAATCTTAGACTTTAAAATAGTTCCCTCACCTGAGAAAACTGTTGGGAAAGGGACATATTGGTTGTTCCTTAAGAAATGCTAGTCTGCACTACATGCAAAAATTAACATTAAATGGATCAAAATAAAACACATAAGAGATAAATCTATAAAAGTTTATATGAAAACAGAAGGGAAAAGCTTCATGATATTGAACTTTATTTTGCAGTGGTGTTTTGGGTGTGGTACAGAAAGAACAGCCAACAAATACGGAATAGATACATTGGACTTTATCAAAATTAAAAATTTTTTCATGAAAGGACACTATTAACTTAATGAAAAGGCAACTCACAAAATTAAAAAACATGTATTTGCAAAACATGTCAGGTCGAAAACCTGTGCAATGCTTATAGAAATGTGAAATGGTGCAGTCATTTTGAAAAACCTAGACAAAATTAAACCTAGAATTAACCTCTCCAGCACTTCTACTTTTGTATTCCACAATTTCACAACTGTATACCAAAAACAAGGAAAACAGAATCTCAAACATTTGTTCAACAGCAGCATTATCAAAATTAGCCAAGTGCCCATATATCCATCCATGGAGAACTGGAGAAACCAAACATAGCTCCTTCATACAATGAATATGACTCACCTTTAAAGAAGAAGTTATGACACAGGCCACCACATGGATGGACCTAGAAGACATGATGTAACATGAAACAGAGAGGCCCCAAAGGGCAGCTGATGCCCCTTATGTGAGGAACTTAGACATGTCAGATTCATAGTGACAGAAAGGAGAATGGTGGGGGCCGGGGGCTGGTGGTAGGGAGCACTGGAGTGCTGTTTGTAATGGATTTCAGTATGGGGAGATGAAAGATTTCTGGAAACTGATGGTATTGATATTTGCAGAACAATGTAAATTTATTTAATGCCCTTGAATTGTACACATAAAAATGGTACTTTAATGTTTTGTACATATTAACACAGTAAAAATACATGAATTTCATTGTGCTTCTAGAAGGTTTTCAGTTTAATGCTAAGTGGAAATTAGCTTACAAGTCCACATGAACTATGATTCCATTTTTATAAAAAGAATTCAAATATATATATATATATATGTATATATATATGGGAAGTCACTTGGGTATTGATGATTTTTTTCAATAAAGTATATTCTACAGTGAGTATATTTTTACTTAACATTAAAGTGAACTTACACATTTCTATTTCATTTTCCTTAAATTCTCAATTATATAAATTAATACATGAATATACTCTCCTCCATTTAAAACGTTTTCATAAGCTGTCATTTAAATACTCGCATTAAATATAGATTAAAGAAAAAAGTCATTGAAGTAAGTCATTAAAGCAATTAACATAAATCACAGGCAAAGCTCATTGGACTCAGAAGAAGAGAGAATATCATTAACACAGTTGGCAGGAAAAGCAGTTTCTACTATCCCCCTTTTCTCCATTTATATATATTTTTCTATAAATAACTCGTTTCTGTTGATTGGAGAAATACTTGAGAAGCAGGAAGGATCTCTGACAGGAAGAGAGCATCATAAAATGCCGGCCTTCCCTGAGCACCACCAGCCCAGCCCCTTTCGTTCCGCGGCTTTTGGCCTTGTCACGAACCGGGTACTGGGGGATGACACCCCACCCCACATTCCTCCACAACCCGCCGCAACCCATCCTGAAACAGTGAAAGCACCTCTGCGGGGGCTCTGAACTCTCCCCCACCCGCCTTTCCTGAGGAACAGGAACCCTAGACTAGATAACGGTAGTTTCAGCCCTCCCGGGACCATAACAAAAAACTCCGGGAAAGGAGGACACGGGGTGACACAGAAAACCCACTGGAGTCGCGCTGGAAGCTTCTCTCTGAACTGCCACCCAGCAGGCGAACTGGGTATACCACTGGTACACCCAGGAAAGCACGGGACCCTCCTCCCCAGCGTCAATGGGCCCAAGCTGCCCTCCCCGCCCCAGGTCCGCTGAGGCAGGCCCACCTGCCTCCGGACAAGCTGGGGGGTCAGCATTAATCAGGTCCCCACTTGTGCCTGCGACCCAGCTCCGGTGGCACCGCCCACAGGCCGGCTCATCCAATCGCGACGCGGTCCGGCGGTGGGGCGTGGTCGTTAGGCCGAATCCCGGACCTTAAATGGAGGCCTCTGGGCCACGTCCAGAGACCCGGGACCTGAACCTGCCTGCTGACCCTGAGCACCTGCGCCCACCAAAGGTTAGCGCCCCAATCCCCGCGAGGGCCTGGCCGGGCGAGGCTACCCCGAGAGCCTGCGCTGCCATTGGCCTTGGCGGTGGAGGGTGGGGATCCCAGGAAGGGCAGTTCCCGGGCCAGGCCGCGTTGCACTCAGCCTCCTGAGCCCCTCATCACGGGGTGCGAGACTGTTGCTACCTGCGGCCAGGGCATCAGCATCTAGAAGTGGCTGCCGAGTCGCAGGGCGGGTAACCGGAAGCACGCTTGGTGCATGACCCACATCTTGATCGCCTCCCCAGACCTGTGTAAATACTTGAGAGGATGCATTAAGTGTTTTTACTCCACTTTAGTGGCTCTAACATCTCAAAAGGAAGTAGGGTGGCTTGTTAGAAAGGCTGGTCTAATCAGATACTCGGTTTGTTTTCTTTCCTAGGTTTTTGAAATATGCATCCTTCGCTCCTCCTGACTGTCCTCAGCTTGGCAATAGCCTCAGCTGCTCCATCAGTTGATGTTGGTTTAAGTGCATTATGGTCCCAGTGGACGGCAACACACGGGAAGCTATACGGCAAAGTTGGTAACATCTGATACTGTCCAGAGGGTCCCCTTAGATAACGGTCGGTGATGGTGGGAGTTTATAGCAGAGAGTAGCCTCTTGAGGCTGGTCACACCAAGGCTATAATCATGGCATGCTGAACATACTAGCGGTGTTCATCACGTGTGTGGAAGGTGGAGATCATCAGCTCACTGAAGTATAACACCATCCTGGCCATGGTTCCTCTTGCTCTCTGCAAACACACGCAGTACTGGTGAGTTAGTTTTAAATAGAAATAAAGATGATAGGTGATATGTTTGCCTCCAGAATGAAGAAGAGTGGAGACAAGCAGTGTGGGCGAAGAATCTAGAAATGATTGACAGGCACAATGAGGAATACGCCCTAGGGAAACACAGCTTCACAATGGCAATGAATGCCTTTGGTGACATGGTGAGTGTGGTATGGATTGCTGAATTTTGCTTTTTCTCCTCAGTACTTTATCATCAAATCTTTTTCTCACATTCTTTTCCCTTTCCCTTGAAGACCAATGAAGAATTCAGGCAGGCGATGAATACTGTTCAAAAGCAGAAGTACGAGACAGGGGAAGTGTTCCCAGTGCCTTCCCTGGCTGAGATCCCCCCATCTGTGGACTGGAGAGAGAAAGGCTATGTAACTCCTGTGAAGAACCAGGTAAGACAGTGTTCATCATATCTCTCTCCAAGAACAAAGCCAAAAAGGAATTGGCCTCCTTGCCTTGGTACATTGTGGAACATTACGCAGTTCACTAATTTTTTTTTTAAAGATTTTTCAGTTCAAAGGGTTGTTGTGAAAGTCCTGCTATTTGTTTTGTAGACTGAGAACATTTTCATTTTGGTTTCAGGGTTGGTGTGGTTCTTGCTGGGCTTTTAGTGCAACTGGTGCCCTTGAAGGACAGATGTTCCGGAAAACTGGCAAACTTGTTCCCCTGAGTGAGCAGAACCTGGTGGACTGCTCTGGACATCAAGGCAACGGTGGCTGCAGAGGGGGCGCAGCGAATTTTGCCTTCCAGTATGTTATTGACAACAGAGGCCTGGACTCGGAGCAATCCTATCCATACCATGGAAAGGTAAACTGAGCTCCTTAGACTGGTACCAAAGTTGAATACTTTCAGAGAAAACAGCTACCATATTTAAAATTCACTATTTCGATTGAAGATTTTTATATTGTCAGAACTGTCATTAAAATTTGTTCATCTTGTAACTTTCTCTGTTCAGGTGGTTACTATATATTTGTCCTCAAATCTATGTTATATATCTTTCTATATACTCTAACAAATTTCTTCAGAGTGAAAAATTTCTTATGGACAGGTAGACTACAAATGTCTCATTAAACAGATATTTCAAAACAACAGCATTTCACCTCCTGGGATGCTTCATAATAAATGACTTGGAAATCATTAAGCTACAGACTGTCTTGCCCCCATGTTCCCTGGGAACTAGGTATTAATCAAATTTCTTTCCCTTCATCTTCAAAGAATGAACCGTGCAAATACAAACCTGAGTATTCTGCTGCCAATGTGACTGGATTCCATGGAATCCCTGCCCAGGAGAAGGACCTAGAGGTCACAGTGGCAAATGTGGGGCCCATTTCTGTTAGTATAGATGCAAGCAAGCAAACATTCCAGTTTTATAAAGAAGGTAAGCATTTGTCTATGTAGAGATTTAGATAGAAAAATTGGAAAAACCACTATGATATATAGCAAGCATTACTCTTTGGTATTCAAGGTAGATTTATTGGGAGTGTGGATTTAACACAGTTGTCCACTATGTACAGTAATATATGTGACTGATACTTTCATTGCCATTGCTTGGATCATATCCCCATGATTTTAAGTGCTTCAAAAATATATTTAATTGGCTCCATAAGTCAACTGATATAGCTGGATTTACTTTTTCCCCAATTGTGAGATCTTTAAAATTTTCCAAGAAATTTTACTCCTGTAATTAAAGCTGGGAAAAAACCCTTGGCTCACATAATACTGTGTTCTGTGCTGATACCTTAGGCTGATATCCTGCAAATAGAATTCTATAGAAATAGATTCTACAAAAATAGAATTTCACCAGTGCTCTTTTAGGCCCCTTGACAAGTCATTTACAAAAGAGACTGTGTTAATTTAACTCCCTAGCCTAGATTTTTAAATCTTGTTTTTAAATATCTGGATTGATGTCCTTTGACAGAATGCCTTCTTTACTATGGTTGATAGGCTGGGTTATAGCCATGTGTCACTTGGTGGTTCTCCCCACAGCATTGAAACTTTCTTTTGCAGGCATATATTATGATGCAAA